AGAAATACAGACAACATTGCCTATAAGCCTTGCCTGGCAGCATTTCAGGTTTCCCCCACATGCAGCATAATGCAAAATAGTGCTACCAGCTCCCGCCCATAAAAAACCGGTAACCATATCACCTACCAGTTATCAATTCTCCATGGAAAAAGAAAATCATACCTATCAAATCCATTCATGTTCCATAATGAAATGTGACAGCAGAGACACTGGCATGAAGGTCTAGTAAAAGCTGTACACAATCAAAATGCCCATTTAATGCAGCCATATGAAGAGCAGTATTCCCACCATCAGCTGCCTTATTTACGAACTTTGACAGTGTACTGCATAGTAAAAATTAACCTAATTAGCACGAAAACAATTCCCAGAACTTTTGCCATTGAAGGCTTGAGTAATTCCATAGCAACTGAGATCGTTAGGAAATATGCCTATTATGAGCATCAATTATTTTAGCAGCTTTTCATGTAAATGAATTTTACCTTTCTGTTTAATTTTTTTCATGTTGGTAATGCTCAATCTCATATAGTGTTGGAAACACTATTGGGATGGTATTTAAGGCTTGACATTCCATTTCCTTGTTGAGTGATAGAGAACAAGGGGGCTCTCGCGCACCGCCGCCGTCGTCCGTCTCGTCTCGGCACGGCACGGCTCGGCTCGGCACGTGGTCGTGGTCGTGGTAATACGTGTCTTCGACACGTCCGTGCGGATACTATCTTTTTAGAGAAAATTCTTGAGGAATTTCTCTTTGAAAGAAACAAATGGAAAATGTGAAAGATATCAACTGATATTTATAGGCTGCTGAGGACTGTTTGAATTTCAAATAATAACAGCTGAATTATTTGTTATCAGAAATTAAACAGTTTATTCCTAAATTAAATCAGAAACGTTAAGATGTACCTGGACTGATTTACAGCTTTGTACAGAGGAGACAAGCTGTTAATATCATGAGTTACAAGAGTTATTTGATTTAATTCCAGGGGTTACATAATATAATTTCGAGAGTTATAACAGCTGAATAATGATACAATGAACCTAGATTATTTATGAGTCAGGTTCATCTAGACGTTTCAGCTGTTACAAATAAGAGATTTAATCCTGAAATTTTATAGACGATTTTAACCCTACTTCTAGCCTATAAATAGAGAGCTATATTCAGCTTCTCAACTCATTCAAAAACATTCACAATTCATTTACAAAGTGTTTTCTAAAGTTCTCTCTGTGAGTTCTCTCTGAGTGCTTTCCGATCAGAAGTACAATACCACCAGCAGTCCATTCCGGTTTTGGGTGTACGGAATTCGGAGCGATCGTGTTAACCTCGGGGGACGGTCGGCCTACTACAGCGATTACACACATCGGGGCGAATTCGTTTCTAAGGTAGTGGTTCTTACCACGACACGGTTTACGAATTTGTTCTACTTAATTACTGTTTATATTTCCAGTCAGTGCTAACGGTGTAGTTTTGCATTTCATATATCCAATATTCCACAATATGACATAAAATAAATCCAGGACCTACTTCTCCATTTAAATCCAAATCAGAGCCAGCTGGAGCAAATGGTTGTTCAGGAGTTAATAAGACACACCTTTGATCATTTCTTTTTCTCACAATAGAGCTACCCCCTCTTTCGCCTTTGATTTGGGTGTTTACAGCTTCAAAAGGAGCATTAGGAACAAAATCAGCTACAAGTAGTGTTATACATCGTACATGTCCATTTACAGCAGCAAAATGTAGAGCAGTCCTTCCGCTTAGATAATCTGCCCTCGTAACCTACAAGGATGTAAATAAATTGCAGCCATAAACTAATCAACAAGCATCTGAAAAGGCTTCCTTTAAGTTAATAACGAAATATCGAGTCATAGTGAAGAAACCATTAAGAAATATTACAGAAGTTCAAAAAAATGAAACTCACATTGCATCTGAAGAGCAAAAGGGTCTGCACAAGCTCCCAGTGCCCGTATCAGCATGCTTGCATCAATGCCGTCTTTCAAATTCAAACACAAAAATGGGATTAAAATTTTGTTATACTGCAGAAAGGTTACATTTGTTGCTTATCAGAGCGAAATTTATGAAGTCCGGATTCGTTGAAGCCAACTTCGGGTTTCCACAGTTGAGATTTGGATTCCAAAATCATGCTAAACCAATTCTCAGGACCAATAGGGTATTCATGCAATCAAATACATTTTCCTAACATATCGAATGGTCTTAGTAGTAAAAGAGAATGTTAAATTTTAAATTTAGCCCTTAGATTTAGATTTGTTAAACTTTAGTCCGTGAACTTTTTAACTAGGTGAGTAATTCAATTTGATCCTCGCATTAATGCCCGAGGGTTCATCTTGATTATTGGATTCATTAATTGGTTAAAACTAATTTGGTTAATAATTAGAGTCTCTATTTTAGGCTTAATTTCACTTTAATCCCTTAATTTAGGGAATAATTCGATTTGGTCCTCACATTAAAATGCCCAAAGGTCCATTTTGATTATTTCATTCAATAATTGATTAGGATTAATGTTAGAGCCTCCATTTTCAGGTTTAGTCCTCTAGGTTCTTTAAATTTTATTATTTGACACTCTAATTTAAAGGTTGCCTTAATAAATCCACCTATTATAATTAGAGTCATAAATGGTTGTGTGATTGCATTTGATTTTAAAAGATAAGACAATGTTCATTTGTTATGGAGTTAATAATATATAAATGGTTGTCCCTTGTTCCCATATGTAATAGGGTAAGGGGGAGGTAAGATAATAGGCTGCCCCCAACACTAGGTTGTGAGCAGCTTTCGTATGAGACCTCCAAATTATGAAATGCACTCCATGGGACTCGATCCCACGACCTCAAGGTTAATAACCTTGTGCTCTACCAACTGAGTTAATAATATATCCTCTGCATAAATGCCCGGGGGTGACTACTGGTAATTCCCTAAGTAAGTCAACATCCTTTTTAAAACCCTCATATACAACAACAACAAAACCCTATTTCCATATACGATGGGGTAAGGAGGAGGTAGTATAGTAGGCTGCCCCCAACGCCAGGTTGATAGCAGCTTCCGTGGAAGACCTCCGGCAGTCAGAAAATTTAAAATAAAGATACAATACAATGCATGTATAAATAAATATATAAATACATAGTTGAACAGTCTTCTTATGTAGTCTTCATATAATGATCTCAAAACCTTTAAGGCAATGTTGGTTTATTATGATAAATAACGAAGTTCTCGCATTGGTTGGTAAATAAACATTCTTTTCCAAATTTTGCATACGTAATAATTTTTAAATTAAATAAAATCTCAAACTCAAAATTTTTCAATTTTTAAATATAGAGTAATCGACTATGTACCAATTCTAGGAGCTGTGAGATGCTAATCCTTCCCACGTGTAACTAACTCTTAAACCTGATTTCTGATTTTGCTGAACAAAGATGTATATTTTTTATAAAATAAAAATGTTTTATTAAAATTACTTGATTTTAGGTGTTCCAGTCGCACCTTAAAAATGATTGGTGGCGACTCCTAACATTTCATAAAATCTTTTTCAAAAAAACTCCATCGTCATAACTAGTTGGTTTTCCCCCAAAGGGCAAATTGAGACAATAAACCCAACATTTTTAGGAAATGACAAAATTATGCCATAGGTCTCTGAGCTTTTGTTACTTTCTGAATTTGGATCATAATTTAATTAAAAATTCATTTTGATCCTCGAATTTAACCAAAATTTTAATTTAATCCCCAAAATGAATTTAAGAAAAATGTAGCCCCTAAATTGGTTTGTGACATCAAAATTGATAGTTGATGTATTAAATGCGTTAAATTTTTAACAGTGGGTACTAAAATGAATAAAAACTAAATATTATATATGTTTTGAAAAAAAAGTTTAGGTACTAAACAAACCAAAATTGAAAGTTTAAGTACTAAAGGCATAATTTACTCTATTATTTTTCAATTAATTTAACTCTTTCGTTTTTATTATCATAACTTTCGAATATTTTTCGTTAAAATATCATATAATCCCATAATGGTTTTTTTCACATGACCTTTTATCACATAAAAAAACTTAAAATAATTAAAATTTTAAATAAAATCATTGAAAATATGAGAAAGAAATTAGAAAAATCAAAATTTATGTGTTTAAAATTATAATTTTGCTCAACTTATTTTTATAAAATTAAAAAATTAAAAAAAATCATAAAAATGAAAGGTATAAAAATTTTAAAATATAAATATCTATAATTACCTTTTAACAAATTTTAAGATTTTTAAATACTTTTTCAATATGAGATGATTGCAAAATTGTATCTATTAGAAAGACTTTCATTATTTAACAACGGACGTTCAAACACTTCTAGAAATGTCGTATTTGAACCCAAAACCTTTAAAATTAACAATCATCTCATTAAATATCGAAAATATTTAATCTGCAAATAATTTTATATGAAGTTACCACATCAACATATTAAACTATTTATAACTATTGAAAACATTTTATCTGTGCAAATATTTTTATTTGAAGTTACCACATCAACGTATTAATAGCTTGTGAGAAATTATCATATCATTGTAACATCAGTTATATAATGGCTCACTAGATATATATACTTTTGATTATTTAACAATAAACGTTAAAAAATTCCTAGACACTTTTGATTATTTAACAATAAACGTTCAAACATTCCTAGAGATGTCGTATTTAGACCCAAAACCTAGTCAAACAAGAACTCAAGGAACCAAAAATTCAGCATTTTGATTAGAAAGCATTCCAGTTTGTTTGATCACAGGAACATATTCCTCTCAAATTTCATCCCATGGAAGTCAAAAATGATAAAAAGAAAACTTTAAGGCAGTCATTTTGATTAAAATTCAGCATATTTATCTCCTTCAAACCTTGTCAAACAAGAACTCAAGGAACCAAAAATGGTTTGTCATTTGCATAAAAAATACTTGTATTTGACTAGGACCCTATTCCACATCAATGCACTCTCTGAATGACTTGCTGTTAAGGATTGATCCCTGCAAAGGAAACTCTAGGCCTAAAATGTAAATAAACTTATATAAGGCCTACACACTTTTTCAAGGAACAGGATAACTTATTTCCAACCTAAGACCTGCTTTACCCTGAGTCACAGAACACCCATCTGTTTGTGCCCAACCCACCCAATATTTTCCTTGTTGTCTCTTTCATCCAAACAGAAATAAAGATCCTCTATATATAAATTTGAAAACAGAACACCAAACTGCAGATGGAGGGGAGGGCAAAAAATACTAGGATCGTGCCACTTTCACGATATCACTAGAAACCTCAGGGATTTCCTTATTTCCATTTACCTGCTGAAAGTTTTTGTCAACTTCTTCCTTTGGTGACTAATCCAAGCAAGAAGAATTGTTGCAGTACAGATGCTTCAGCTTCAATAGTTCATAACTACCTTTGTATTCTCCCACACTGTGATTGATTCATCAAAGCCCCAAATTATCATTAATCACACAATAGAAGCCAGTGCTTCTTCCGCCAACAACTTAGAAATCCATCTACATTCTCCATATCTGACAAGGCAATCCTTAATCCAAAATGTCCTATGGATGTTAATGCTCATCGAATGCATAAGCTGGTTGTCCATTGTAATGTCTGGCTGATTATAAGTTCAATATTACAAAATTAAAAAATGACATTAAACGACAAAAGTCGGGTTTTTTTATTCTCTTAAACGGTATCCTCCTTTTCATCCATAACTTCATTCTCATCTATGTTATCAGAAAGTATATCTGAAATGAAACCATCTTTTCCTTTCTCTTCATGCTCAATTTCATCCTCGTCCCTGAAATCTTCGTAGTTGTTTTCCATATAGTCAGGTCTAACACACACAATGTCATCAACTTCCCTATCCCTCCTATAGCTAACCAGATCCTTATCCACCTTTGCCTTTCTAGAGCTAAGCAAAATTAACTCACCCAACTTCCTTCTCGCAAAATACAAATCATTTGGCTCAATTAACTCCCCTTTCCTATAAGCCTCCCTAAGAAATACTGTATGAAGCTTCCCATAGTTCCCCCTTGTCGAAACATAAAATATCCCCTGATGCTGTAGCAGAAAATCCTTCAACTTCTTAGGCAAATTCATTGCCATCCTAAAATGCGCAATCCTCTCCAAAGAAATCTTCTTCTCCACGGTCAATGAGAGCAACTCATGAATAGTTGCAACTGCCCTCTTTTCCATTCTCTTCTGAGCTTCCAACGACCTCAAATCATAACCGGAAACATCCTCGTAAGGTGACCAATACGGAACTCGTTGCCACTTCCAAACCGCAATCCTATAATACTTACCAATCTTAAACCCAGGTGGAAAATTCACAATAAACGAGAACCTAGTATCCTCAGCATCAAGACCCTTTTCTCTGTACTCTCTCTCTCTAACGTTCTCTATAGCACAAACAGCTAACTTAGGATCTCTTTCAACAATCTCAATGTATTTATTCCTAGTCTCGCGAGCATCAAACAATCTAAAAAATTCAGGGTATTTGAGAATTACCGAGAACTCAAAATCATCAGGCAACCCAAATTCTTTCCTGGCAATCCGAATATGTTCCAGCCTTAAACGACCCGTATTGGACATCATAAGCAACTTCCTTAACCGGGTGACGGCATCGGGTATCTGGGCATTGAGGGCTTCTTTTTCCTGCTCCATTTGGAGAAGCGCCTTCCGGGTTAGCCTGCAAAAGAGGATTCGAAGAACAGGGTGCTCGTAGATTTCGAAAACGTGAGGGAATTTGAGGAGATAAGCGGCGGCTTCGTTTTCTTTGAAGCCGAGGCCAAGGCGACGGGCGAGGGAGTCGAAACGAGAGGTGGGCAGCGTTTGGCTCGGCTGGGAGATGATTAGGGATTGGAATTTGAGGACTTTGCGGTTCTTCTTCTCGATCTCCATGTAGTTGTCGAAACCGTGATCGCGTACCCTTTCCTGCTTTTTGGGGATAGAGGTGGACTGAGACATTAGCATTTTGGAAGTCAAGTCGTGAAAGAAACTCAAAGGTCTGCGAGGTTTGAGAAGATTGGAGGTGAAACCCAGCATCGTATGAGTTTAATTTGAGGTTTAGGGTTTTGTTTATCTCAAGCTGGAGCCGGAGAATCGCCAGAGTCCAACAATAACATTCTCTCAAGGCGATAACAGGCAAATCTGGGCTGCTCAGTAAATTTAGCTAGGGCATTTGTTTTATTTAGGGTAAACTTCATATTACTATCCCAACTCCGTCTTATTAAATGTGCATACTTTTATTTTTTAAATTATCTCATCCAAAATATTTTATTAAAAAAAATTTAACAAATAATATTTATATTTTTTTTTATTTTTATATATCTCGTTGTTCTATATCTGTTAAAATAAATTTAATAAATTTATCAATCACATTTTAGAGATAATTTTATCATTTCACTTGATCAGATATATCTAGGGATGAGCAATATGTGGGTTCAAACCCGACGATCAGGTTAATTTTTAAAAAAAAAATTTGAATTAGGATTTAGAGTGAAAAAATTTTGATCCAGACGAAAAAATAATATAAAAATACCTTATATTTTTAAAAATAATTGCAAGAATATCCCTCTTTATATAACTTCTTTTAATTAAGTCCCTATTTATTAAATAAAATTAATAATTTTATATTATTTCGGATCATGTCAGAGTCAGTTTTATCTCAAAATTCGGGTTGGCCAGAAACCCAACCCATATTCATCTAGATATATATCCTAAAATTATGTCCATGGTTAATATAAGACACAAATTATAGTAAGGAAGGAGTATAATTTTTTTTTATTTTGATCTCCTAATTATTTTTAGGGTAAATTATGTGTTTAGTACCTAAACTATCAGTTTAATCCGTTTTAATACCTAAACTTTATTTTTTAAATCGTATCTAACGTTTAGCTTTTGTTTAATTTTAGTATTCAACCGTTAAAAACTTAGCAGAACTATTACAATTTGGTACTATTTTATATGTAAATTACATCATTCATCACTCAACTATCTTCTTACTCCTATTTTGATCATTGAAGTTTATTTTTTAATTTAATTACTTAATTTTCAAATTACTCCTAATCTAATCACTCTAACTTTCAAATTTGATTTTTTTTTTAATTTTAATTATATATTAATAAAAAATAAAAAAAATCATATCACAAAATATTATTAATAAAATAAATTAGAGTGATTAAAACGTGAGCAAGTTGAAAAGTTTAGTAGTTAAATGGAAAATTTTTAAACTTTAATGATCAAAATAAAAGTGAGAAGATAATTAAGGGACGGATGATGTAATTTACCCATAAAATTGTCACGTGCAAAAGTTCCGTTAAATTTTTAAACTGCAGTGTTCTAAAATAAAACAAAAACTATACTTAAGGTATGATTATAAAAAAAAATTAAAAATTGAATTGCTAAAACTGACCATATAATTTACCCTTCTTTTTATTAAAATTATATATAAAGATAAAAAAATTTATTTCTATTTTAGTCAACCAACTATCACTTTTATTTTATTTTCATCACTCAATTATTATTTTTTTCAAAATATATTTTAATTTCATTTTGTGACTATTTATCGTTAAAAAATTTCCTCATTAAAAATTCAAACAAAAACTGTTGACTTATAATATTGCTAAAATATGATTTGGAAAACAAATTATTCCTAATAATGATTTTTTTTACAAATTATTCCTAATAATGATTTTTTTTTCCGAATCAAACATCGTTTAGATAAGAGAAACAAAAAAAATAAAAGAATTTTATAAATGCATGTGGATTCTTAATGAGGATAGAGATCCTATGGTAAACTTTAATTTCTATTTTGATTATTAAATTATAATTTTTTCAAAATCATACCAAATATCAGATTTTAATTTCTATTTTGTCCATTATTATTAGGGATGGGCATGTATATCAAGTCGAATTTTCGATCCACCCGACTCTAATATTTTAAATTCTCCACCCGACCCAAATCCGAAATAAAATATTTATTAAAAAAATATTATTCTAATTCAATAAAAATAAAGATTTAATTGAAGAAAATAATACATAGAGTGATATTATTATAATTATCCCTAAACATATAAGATAAAATTATATATTTTTTAATCGAATCATATATTTTTCACCCTAAATCTAAACTCGACCTCACCCAAACATAACTTTAAAAACCACGACTGGACATGATATTAAAAAAAAACCCAACCTTGATTGAATCAAAAGCCGTCAAATTCGGGTCACAAGCCCATCCCTTCGTTATATTACCTAAAGTTATAATGGTGAGTTTCATATGATATTATACTAATTTTCTATATATTTATTATTTTCAAAATCACACAGCATGCTACCAAAATGCAAAAAGACCGTCTCACAGGTCAACCAAGTCAATGCCCGAACCACAATCCCCTCCTGCAACATCCATGGCCTCCGGCGCCGGCGGTTCGTTCTTGACTTATAACCCAACTCATCTCCATATCTCTATTACTGTTTCTCTCTTTCACAAAAGCATAAAATTATATGCAATTACCTTACGTTGTTGCTCCGCCTATGTTACGGTAAGCGAAGCTTTGATCTTTTGAATCGTGCAGGCGATCAGATTGTTGACGGTTTCCACCGATTCCATTGTCAATTTCGCGGTGGGAACGTTGTTCACCAGAATCTGAAATCCTACCGTAAGCAGGCATCCACCACTTGTACTCCCATCAATCTCGGGTTTCACCGAAGGTCCGTTTGAGTCGCTTTGTCCACCGTGATAACTAGGCGACATGGAAGGAAGAATTGCAAATCCTGATGGTAAGAGTGCAACGTACGCCGAATCGCCGCCATTCATCGCTGCACTCATCGACGATATGTCCACGGGTGCGTAAACTACGAATGCTCCGCAGGCATCACTCCATGTTTCTTGTAAAATTAGCATGCTGTTCTTGTTTGCATTAGCGGCCTGCAAGGGAAATACACATCTTAAATGAGAAAATCCGAGATTTACGGTATCGTAATTCGAACGAATCTAGAGATCGAAAACTTACCGTGCCGCGAAGGAGAGAGACACAGTTACCACGTTCCATGCCCTTGGCAACACGGACCATCTCTTGTATTGGCCCGCCATGCGACAAAATGTCCCATTCACTCCGCATTCGTTCGTCCCGCAAGAAATCAAACAGCCGTTCTTGTGTTATCGGCATCCAAACAGAAGTAGAAGCACTCAGCACAACACCATGAGGCTCACCGGGATCATTTATATTCTTCCGTGTCATCACCCTTACATCTTCACCAACATTACCGACACTAAGCTTGTCCCATTCACGAACGCTTGAAGCACAAACTCCGGCACAGAAGTTATTCGTCATGCGCTGCGCAAGCTTTAGCAAGCTTTTCTTCCCAGCCGGAGTTATTCCTACGGCACAAGTAGAGCGGTATTAGACGAGGACAACTCTTTTTTTTCAAGGACAATTTACAAGCTAAACGAACCTGAATTATTTTCACCGGGGACATCTTGGGACATCAGTACCGCCATGCAGTCACACTGCCTCTGGAGAGTGGCAAGCCACCTGTGTGCACCAAACCCAAAACCAGAACTGATTACCGGCTGCAGGAGATGGTGAACGGCACTTTCATCATACTTCGAGTGTTCGACCCATGTAACCTGCATTCAAATATTCATAAGAAAGCTCGGTTGCAACGATATCAGCCAAAAGATAATGAAAGCTTCATATTCGTAGGTAAAAAGGACTAAAATTGAGCAAAGCGCAAGTCATTGTGTGGATTGGGATTGAAGTCCAAGTGCATATTATTTCACCTTCATCTAGTCTCGACTAAACTCGAAAGCGAAGTTGTACTTCGATGACAACCTCGTTAAATACGTATAAGTACAATTCTAGCTCAATGAGCAACTCAATATCAAGTACATATTTTTATTAATTACCTTGGAACACTTATTATCGACGTCTTGGATAAGGCAGCCAGAGGGAAACCTCCTGCAGTTTGGGAACATTTGTGTATTTGCAGCACCTTGGCTGGCATCAATCGAAACATCGACCACAGCCCATATGCCCTCCGAATGCTGCTTACAAAACCGGATGAATCTCACTTGACGGACAGGAACCAACGGTGAAAGCACTTGAAATTCAGCATCAATCTGCAAAAAGATTTTTCGTTAGTCCAAGGTTAGCAGCAAAAGAAATAAAGACGGATGGTTGGAAAAAAAAACAATACCACTAGTAACTCGTTGTCCCTGGTTCCACCCGAACCGCTGGACACCATATCGATGGTTGCTGCTCTAGAAATCATGCACGGAAACATTTCCACCCAACGGTTCTATTCATAAAGTATCATACAAAGAAATTGTTAAACAACAATTCAAATACTAAATCTGAAGATAACAAAAAAGCTACAAAAGATGTGCAGAAAAAATCGGCATCAAACGAGCAAAACAACCAATCAAATCCCAATAGCCGATGGGAAGTTCAATAGGACAATGAAGGCACTGAAACAAGTGAATAGATTGCATACCGAATCCATCAGTGCCTCTACAAGAGCCAAGCCGTGGAGGTAAACCAGTCCGGTCGCCCGTGTAGCCTCAGTTGCATAGCTGCTCGGTTTCATACCAATGCTCGAGGAGAAAGTCCTCCTGTACTCCTCAATGTTCAAGGATTCCATCCCACCATCCAAGCCATTTATCCAAAGAGGATTATCTATCTGTGCCATCTTAATTAATTCATCCATAGCCGACAAAGCAAGATCAACAAAAGCCGACTTGTCATATTGCATTTCATTGACAACCGGTTTCATGAAGGGCATCATAGAGACATCACCGAAGTCGAATCCCATTAGCATTGTAGCGCCTGCATTGTTCAGGCCACCAAAATCATTCCTTCCAACTGCAAGCTCCAAATTCGAATTCAATCCCTGAGAAGGAATAGGACTGCCCAATGACGAGAGAGGCCTGCCTAAGAACCTGTTTGTTAAAGCACATATCCGGCCGAGTTCATCTTTCAATCGAGCATTCTCGATCCTAAGCTGGTGTTGTTCGAAAGATATTTCACCAGGCACTGCAGGACCACCACAACTGTTGCATACAGGGGCAGTCATGGCCTGCTTCAACAAGTCGTTCTCGGCACGGAGTTTATCGTTCTCTTCTCTAAGAATTACATTCTCATGGCGTTCCAATTGAGTCTAGAGGATAAATTTTCATAATCAATCTAGAATTCAACCATCAATATTGTAAAAACAAAACAAAATAGATCATCCGCTAACCTTCATCTGGGTTCTCCTGTTTTGAAACCAAAATTTTATTTGATTGCCCTCTAAACCTAGCCTCCTACTAAGCTCCATTCTTTGTTTTTCATCAGGATGAGGGCACTCCTTGAAGAAACTAAAGAACAACAGAATAAAGAAACAGAAACAAAATCCATAAACTGCAGAAGGATTTAAATAGCCGACCGCCGTCCGCAACCATTATTGCATGACCGCAATAACGGCCGCTATGTCCGCAATCACGATAAACATCGCAACAAAAAAATGAGACCACTATTTAAATTACTGGTACATATTGAGAAGAAAAAAAAGAAAATCTTGAGTGAAATGAAATATGAGCAAAAGCGTACGATTCAAGCTCTTGTATTTGCCGTGGGGTGTGCCGGTGATACTTCTTCTTCTTCCTTGGTCCACCATCGGCGGCGACATCCTGATCGTCACCGGAAGCAACTTCAAAATTATCACTGCCGGACCTACTCTCATCATATCCATCTTCTCTCATCCTTCCAATGAAACCAGGATCAAAGTTTTCACCAATCAGCCCAATTTCACCATGACCATCCATTCTTTTTCTGCAACAAAACCAAGTCCGTCACTCTTAAATGACCCATCTTTAAAATAATAACAAACACACACAGCCAAGCTCAAAACCATAAAATTGATAAACAAAGTAGGTAATGGATTAATTAAAGGACACTTCACTATAGAGAGAGAGAGAGAGAGAGAGAGAGAACCACTGTTGTTGCTGCTACTACTCTTTGGTCAAACCCCAAAAACTCAAAAAAATTGGAAATTTTCACTATCACTTTCACAAGGATGTGCTTGGGTTTTTGTTTCTCTTTCTTGTTCATTAATTTGACCTTCACAAACAATACCCAGATTGTGCTAAAGTCTAAAACTTTTTTTTTTCAAACAAGTTCATCTCAACAAATAAAGAATGGGGCTGTCTCTTTGTCAACGCCCATGCATGACTAATTGCACCTCTCTCTCTAAAAATCCCCTCATCGTTCTCTCTCTCACTAAAAAGTCAGTTTGAGAAAGAGAAAACAGTGGAGGAAGAAGACAAAGACACTACGTTTTTATCTTATAATATAATCAAAGGGTTCACACCTTATTTAGGAAATCCCTGAAAACGCCATGGAAACACTGACAAGCATGAAAAAAAACCCTAAATTTTTCAAAGCATCATCCTTGACCAATCGTTTGTCTGTATATTCGAGAAAATTGAAAAAGCAAAAAGTATGAACTATTATGAACACTAAGAGAAAAAATGGAAAAGGCAAAGCTTCTCTCTTTCACATTCACACAATTCAAACACTAAAAATGACGTAGCAATAAACTGAACCAGAATCAAAAACATGAAGGAAAAAAAGACCCTGTTGACTACTCTCTCTTCTTCTTCTTCTTCTTCTTCTCTCTCTCTCTCTCTCTCTTCTGGTGCAAGTGAAGAGAAGAAAACAAACAGGCTGTAAGAATTAAATGCACGAAATCGAAACCCAATGAAGAAAAAAAAACCCAGTACGGAGATTGAAAAGAAAAAAAAGAAAAGGTAATACCTTTCTTTTTAAAAAATATTTGACATAAGCAAAGGTCAGTGATTTTGAACAGAGTGGAATGGATCCTTCTCTCTCTTTAACTGTTGGGATCTGTACAAGAAGAAAAAAAGGACAGAAACTATGTAATAAACTATAAAAAAAAGTTTTGATTTTTTTTTATCTTATATGAAATCAAAAATTAGCTACTAGTAATTACAATGGAGGTTGGATCGTTGGAAGCTGTGAAGAACTGAAAAGCTTGACTTAAACAAAGAAAAGGGAGAGAAAATCAATAGTCAAGCTGGTTAATGCTTTGTTTAATACCATCTAAAAGAAAGCTAATTGATTCTAATAAACAAAAAAGGAGAGATAAAAGGCATCTTATAAACCCTAATGAAAACTGCAGCCATTTCTCATTCTCTCTGTCTCTTCCTTTTCTTTTTCCTTCTTTTTAAACGTTTGATGTCTTCGTCTCGTCTTCCTTTTTGTATTCCCCATAAGTTTTCTCCTACTAAATTAGGTAAATTATTATGGAGATTATTTTTGTTTTATTTTCATTCTTGATCATTTAATTTTTATGTTATTATAATTTAATCATTGATATTATCATTTGATTATAGATAAATTATACATTTAGTACTAAATGATCAGTTTTGATTCGTTTTAGTATTTAAATTTTTAATTTTTTTTAAAAATCATATCCAAAGTTTAATTTTTATTTCATTTTAGTACCCGTTCAAAATTTAAAGTTAAGTTTTAAAAACAATTTGAAAATTTAGGAACTAAGATGGGCCAAAAATGATAGTTTAGGTATTAAATGTTAACTTTTAACGACGGGTTCTAAAATGAAATAAAAAATAAATATTAAGTATATTTTTTAAAAAAATTAAAAGTTTAAATATTAAAACGAACCAAAACTGATAATTTAGTTATTAAATACATAATTTACCCTTATTTACGTTATTGATTAATAATAATTTGATTATTTTGAATTAATCACTGATTCTGATCTATTGACCAACTAATCTAGACTGGGTACTGCAGAGACAAGGGCGACCCTCCCAACCTAGTTTGCTACATTCGCAAACGTCAGGATTCGAACCCCTGACCTTGCTTAAGGGATCTAATGCCTCATCCCACTAGACTAACTGATAATATCAATTTTTTATTGATTTTTTTTCAAAATCATACTTAATATTTAAGATTAAAACTAAATTATCAAATTATTGATTTTAAAACTTAAAATTTTGATTTTACGATAATTAATGATGAATTATGACAGAAAAAAATCAAAACTTAATCTGTCATAATTAAAAACGAGAATCTGTCATAATTCTCCATTCAGATTAATGGGAATATCAATAATCACCCCTTTTATTTTTTTATTTTTTCTATTTACTTCAAATTATTAAGTTAACATCTCATTGATCAAATTATTATTGATTAAAAACATAAATGGTCAAATTATAATTAATTGGAACTTGAATGACAAAATTTAGAATAAAAAAAACAAAAGTGGCATATGTCGTAGTTTACTTATTAATTTATATAGAGAGAAAATCAAGAGCTTAATGAACTGTGGGACCCAGTTTCTTCCAAAAACAGGTTTCGGGATGTCCGCCTTTCTCTATTTCCCACGCGCTTACTCCGCGTGTGTGTCTATCCACGCCGCTGTTTGTTTCTTGCCGATATGGGTCCCGTGTGCTCGATACTCCATAAGCCCAGCTACAACTTATTATGGAAACCTATCCAGAAGTGGACACGTGTAACTGAGACGGTACTCCGTATATTAAGGGCAATGTTTAGGGTCAGTACCGTAATTTTGTATTTATAGCTGGGGATACGGTCTAGATCCCTAACAATCCAATTCGGCCGTGAATGTGATGGTTGACCTCCCTCTATAAATCCTAATTGCTACGCTTAACTTATTTTTTTTATTTCGATAATAATATCGATAATAATTTCGATAATAAATAAATTATTATTATTTTTTAAAATTTTGAGTTTAAACATTAAAATGATCCAAAGTATAAATTTTTAATTTAAAATAATTAAGAGTTATCTTTAAATAAATACGACTTATACTCATCCAGATTAATAAAGAAAACTCATCTATTTTTTAAATACATATTACCACAAATATATTTGAATAATATATACTTTTAATTGATAAAATATTTATATCTAATTTTATTATACGTGGATTCATTTTTTAGATGATTATTTGTTAAGATAAATTAAGTGTTTAGTATATAAATATGGATGGTAAAGGGCTGGGTTCGGGCCGGGTATTGGTCTTCCCGTCCTCGTCTCCGTTTAAAAAATCCGTACTCGTCCCCGGTTAAAAAACCGTGGGGATTTAAACGGGGATCTCCATCGGGTAATCGGAGAAAACCGTAGGGAAACGAGTATTCATGTTTAGTATAAACAATTATTTAAATGAGTATCAGGCCGGATATATATATTTAAATTAAATATATAAATATTATATATATATATTAATTTAATTTTAATTTATTAATATTATATATATATATAATTATTTTTAATATTTATCGGGCCGGGTAATCAGGGTAGGGATTACTAAACCCGTCCCCGTTTAACATAAACGGTTTTTCCCATCCCCGTTTAGCATAAACGGTTTTTCCCCATCCCCGTTTAATTCGGTCCCATCGGGTTCGAATTTTTTTTGCCATCCCTATATATAAATTTATTAATGGTGGTTTATTTTAGTATTTAAGTTTTTAATTTTTAAAAAAATTATACATAACATTTAGTTTTTGTTTTATTTCAATATTATGTCGTTAAAAACTTAATGAAACTAGTACAACTCGACACTTTTATGAGTAAATTATATAATTTATCCCTTAATTATCTTCTCACTCCTATTTTAATTATTAAAGTTTAATTTTTAGTTTAATTATTTAACTTTCAAATTACTCTTAATTTAATCCCTCTAACTTTCAAATTTATTTTTTAATTTAATTGTATATTAATAAGATAATGAAAAATATCATGTCACAATATATTATTAATAAAATATATTAAAGGGATTAAAACATGAGCAATTTGAAAGTTAAGAATTTAAATTGAAAATTTTTGAACTTAAATAACCAAAGTAGGAGTGAGAAGATAGTTAAGGGATGAATGATATAATTTACCCATGAAAAAATGCCACGTACAAAAGTTCTGTTACACTATTAACAATGAGATATTAAAATAAAACAAAAACTAAACGTTAGGTATGATTTTAAAAAAAATTAAAAATTTAGGTACTAAAACAAACTAAAATTGATAGTTTTGATACTAAATTCGTAGTTTACCCTAAGTTTTAATTATTTAATTAGAATAATTAATAATTATTTAATTTAAATAATTGTAAAAGGTATAAAAATAAAATATTATTATATAATATTAGTTATTATTTATACAAAATAAATAAAATCAATGCTAGTTTAATATTGCTTTAAAATTTATTATCACTTCAATTTCTCTAAGCTTAAGAAAATCGAAGCAATTGAAATTATCTAAACTGCCCTATATTTCTCAAGTTTCTTCATCTCTCAAGAAAAAAAAATATTTCAATGGATATTTTTTATCACGTCATAAATCATTTCAAATCAATAAAAAAAATTTATATCAATTTTTTTCACATCATTTCCTTATTATTGCATATCAAAACTCAAATTAAATTTGAGGTTATTTTTAAGGTCTTTCTAACCTCTCTCTTCATACATGGTTAAAGCTTATATATATATATATATATATATATATATATATATATTTATATATATATATATATATATATAATAATTTTTTATGTTAAAATACAATAATATTTATATGCTATTTTAGTATGATATTATTCATTAACAATATATTTTTTATCATTCATTATTTAGCATGATAATATTTGTATAGTCTATATTTGTTTTCAATGAATTCACACACGCACATATATATATATATATATCTATACCACCATAAACACAACAGGAAATTGGAAAAGGGATGGTAGATCTCAACTTTGGTTGAGGCATCTAGGGAGGGTTTAAGTAGTGTGCTAACGAGTATGAATGTGATGATGGTGACGGTAGAGGAGGATACCCTAATGCACAAGTTGGATAGGGGGAAGCAGTAAAGAGGTCTCCCGGTAGAGAAACACAATGGTGATGAGAATGAAGCTGGACAAGTTAATATATCGGTAGGCCTGAAATCACAAGTCAGTTGATCACAATGAAAATCATAAGTTGGAACGTTTAGGGTTTGGGGATGACCCAGATAGTTCGTTGTCTCAGGCATGTGCTGAGAGACGTAAATCCCTCTGTAGTTTTCTTAATTGAGACAAAACTGCATAGATTAGGTATAGAGAAGGTACGAAAATCCTGTGGCTTCACAAATGGCATTGAAGTGGAGTCGTGGGGTACTTATGGCGCAAACTACGACTTTTTTTCATCGTTTTGCTTTCAGTTGCAAACGACATAATCGGAGGAAATGGATCCACAGTTTAACCATTGGAGGAAATGGATCCCAACAAGGATCAAGGACGTTCGAGTCATTACCTTCTGGTACTTTAAATATATATCAATGACACATGATAATCTTTTACATGTTTAGAATTCTTTAAAGAGAAGATATATCAATCATTTACAATGGAAGGGTTCCTAATGAGAAGAACTTGTTTGACCCTGGCTATCCATGACATAAAGAGGTGGATCAACATTTTTAGTGGAAATATTCCTAACGAGAAGAATTCATCCGATAAGACAGAAGTTCCTAATGAGAAGAACTTGTTCAACCTTGACTTATCTATCACATAAAGAGTTGGATCAGCATCACTCTTTTGTTCTATTACATCACAAAAGGAGGTGGATCGACATTCTTGCTTTGCTAGATTCCAGCACATGAGGAGTTGGATCAACATCGACCATTCCTTAGATTCCATCGTAGAAGGAGGTGGATCAACATGATCACAGGAACAAGAAATTCAAAGAGAATCTTAATCAGGGATACCCCAGATAGGATTTCGGCCAATCAAATCACTCATGAAAAAGTCGGACAAAATTTTTGTCTTTATTCTTTGCCCTATTCACATCACACGATAATAGGCAATGAGGGGCAACTATAGACACCAATTTTTGTCGTAGCCTTTTATTATCTTTTTATTTTTATTTTTATTATTTTATTCTGAAATAAATTAGTTAGCTTTATTATTATTAGTATTATTATCTACAAATAGGTGTTAATATGTAAGCCCGTTGTTATTTAAAATCTATATGCACTCATGTCATATACCACATGTCCATGGAATGGTTTTCTTATTAATTTGAGGTAAGTACAAAGCAAAAAATGTTCATAGATATATGTCCACCATTTGACATTGAACGCTCACACTCCTAGCATTGAACTCGAGACCTTAAGGAATAACAACAATTCATTTA